TTTTTTTTTTTAATTTTAATGCCTAGTTAATAATTTGAATAAAGCTATTTAACAATCAAATGAAACATCATTTAAGTGTAATGTAGTATATAGAATATACAATATAATAATACTATATGAATTATACATATACAATACACAATAATAACACAACACATACATATGTAGCTGTATACTGATATTCACATAATTGTAAAAAAATAAGATGAAGTGTGACAAGACACGTTAGAGCGTGATCCATTCATTTGATTCTACATTGATTCGTAACAAGCAACTCGCTCGGGATCGGCCAGTTGCTAATTTCGAGGCTCGAAACTGTTGCCTGTTTCGAGGCAATATGTATTATATACATGTTCCATTCACGAATTTTTACTAGTATTAAAAAGGGAAAGCATGTTATGTTCCGTCCTCGTCTAAAAAATAACATCGCTGCTCGACCGATTACTTTATAGTTTACCGCTACCGTCGGCGCGCTCGGGAACAAAGGCAAGCCGAATAGCATACCACCCTCGAAATAAGCAACTGGCCGGTCCGAAGCGTGTTGCTTGTTTCGAGGTAATACTGTATCATGCAACAGAAACCAAATTCCCGGCGCTCGATATTCGGGCCTCCCACGAACGATCCTCTTCCACAAACGTTCCATAACACCCAGATAATATTCGCCATAACATTTTGTCCCTGTGCTGCCTAACCCAATAGCAGTAACGGAACTAAGAATAAAATTCCTTACAGCAGGCAATGGAGTCAAGTGATGTTTTCAGGTTCCGCTTAATTAACAATAATAAGTTTCAAACGTAGAGGAGGACAGCGAGTGAAAAAGAAAGAGACACTTCGAATGAGGCAATTGGCAAAGATCAAACGTTAAACAATTGTTTACAATTCTAATACGTCACTATTATTTTATTTTTAATCCATTTTTCATACACCTTTCCTCATTATAATCGTAACATATTCCTAATTAAAATGAGATCAAACACGACGAAATTCAGGGCATATTTAGTTTTAATAACTTATTGGAGTAAAATTCTTAATTATAAACTAAACATGTGGCACAATTAACTACAACCGATATTAAATGATTTAAAAGTTTAATGATCTAAATTTACAAGGCCGAGTTCAAGATTACAAATAAAATAGAAACAAATATTTTTTCAGCGATATTTGTAACTTAATAATATAAACCATTTTCTGTTATGTTCATACATAACAGAATATAACAATATTCATACTTTCATTAATACCTAATTACGGAAATTAAGAATTGTCTTACTTAAAATTGATCATTTTAATCCTTCTAAAATTAATTGTGTCGAACGGGAAAAACGATGATTATATTCTTCTAAGCAATTGAACGCATCCTGTAATTCTTTTCTCTCTTCTCGATTAAGTTCAATCCCATAATCCCGTTCTCTTTTGCGACCATTCCTTTCTTCAATCTTTTTTTCAACCTTTCCTGCGTCCGTTTGTTCATTCGTTTGTCTATGTTTTCTTGTATTCACATTGGCTCCTCCCTTCGACAGATTCTTCAGCCTTCTTAAATATCTATGTATGTGTATATGTAGAAAAGTAAAAAATATCCATTAAATATTGTATATATGTATTTTACTTCGCTGGAGACGTTAACACTTTCTCTGATTGGTTTAATAAATGAACATTTTGTCGATTTCTGTTATGTTTCTTATATATACATATGCTATAAATTTTCAGCTGCAATGGGACGATGTCAAAGTACACCAGGACTCGTAGAATCACGAGGTCGTATACCACTAGAAGAGATGTGGATTTCACCTACAGACGTGAAATCATCTCATACGTACTCAACTGGTCGATCGTTATTCTCACCTAGTCCAAGTCCAGTAGCGTCTCGTGGTTTAGTAAGCACTGAAAACAACACCAACGCGAACAACGTTGCAAGAAGCATGGATAGTCCAATAAGTGCCACAAGTAGCGGCCATAGCAGCGAGGATCAGACCACTAGAGCACCACAATCTGTTACTACACAACCCTCGACTGGCAGACAATCCACACACTCTGGCAAGTATTTCTTCTCAGATACCAGAAACTAAAAATATTAAATCATTACTTATGAAATTTTCATCCTTAACGGTATTTTTAAAAGGATATAACTTTTATAAGGCAAGCACCATTGCAATCGCCACACTTCTTTCATTATTTTACAAATTTGTTGATTATACGTTGACTAAATCTTATACTCTAGTAATTTTAAGAGGATATAATTTGTATTGCACTGATTTTACACAAAATAAGCAATATTTTACCATTGCAATATGCATACTTTTTTCAACATTTTAAAAATTTTTGGGTTTTATGTTCATTGCAACTTCAATTTCTGGCAAGGTGTTTGGAAAAAGGAAATACTGTTATTGACAAATCGAGCGAATACACATATTTAACGGAATACAAGTTTATTTTAGTTTCGGTATTCCCAAAGTATAAAATAGATATACTCCACAAACAAAATTTCTTTAGTTTCATGGCCCTTATAGATAATAAGGGAATATGGAGATTGCAAAACTTTTGTTTACATGAAACTACTGTAAATGTAATTTCTGCGGGTGATTAGCGATTTTCTCTCGTTCGATATTGTAAGGTACTGTCCAGAGTACGAGAGAAAACTTTCGGGACGGGAATGGGGCTAGAGGGACGAAAAGAGCATCGCAGTGGATAGATTGTAACGTTGCCGCCTTTTGTCACACGCATTTTCGGCAATAATGCGCTATTTGTCGAGGCGGACATATACACTAATCGGTCGCATGACGCGGAGAGTGGGTCAGATATATGTAGAACAAGCGAGACAACGAGCGATACGTTGAGCGGCATTCCATTGTCGTAGTGTCCAAAAGTTTTACGCATCGCGTAAGAGGAAAAAGATAGAGTTTTTTAACATATAGTAGCAATACAGTGTTCATTCCATATAAGCAAAAATGCCCTTTCCGATATAAGCAAAAATGTTATCCCCACCACTGGGGGGAAGACCCCCCGAGACGCCCGAGGTTCGCTCGCCGGGAAATGTAACGTGATCCGGGTATTAGTGTATCCGTGAGACAATACCAATGCAAATATAAAACTTTTTTATTTTTGACTTTTTCGTTATCAAACTTTTACCAATTAATTCTTGACATTTTTCCGATTAAAATGAGA